AAGTGATCGCTCGCTGGCCCTCCCAGCTCCAAGTTGGCCCCACCTATCCAGCCGCTGGTTCCCACCGAAGTGATCGCTCGCTGGCCCCCCAACTTCATGCTGGCCCCACCTATCCAGCCGCTGGTTCCCACCGAGTTTCAGCCTCCCACACTGCCGCTTCTAGTCCTCAGTATTAATTCCACCACTGCGCTCCGGGGGGCTTGAACCCTTGACCTCATGTCAAGGGTGCCTCACTCTTACCACTAGGCCAAGAGGTCATTGGCATGTTATCACTGTTTTTATTTTCAATGGACTAGGTGATGATCTAATTTTGTGTGACTGTGAAGCGCACTGTTTAAAGGCAAACAGTGTATTCGACAGTAAACATAGGTATTTATCTGATACAGAAGCGCACTGTTTAAAGGCAAACAGTGTATTCGACAGTAAACATAGGTATTTATCTGATACATGAAAATAACATGATTTTTGTTTTAAAAATTAAGCCATAAGATTTTTATATTTGAAAAATTAAACCATCTTGTATTTACATTATACGTGCACAAAATAACATTGAATGTAATTACAATTTTTATATTTTAAAAATTAAACTACATTAACGTGTCAAAATTTGTATTTACTTGATACACAAAAATAACACGATTTTTATATTTTACAAATTAAACCATTTTGTATTTACTTTTACATAAATATAACACAATTTTTATAATTCAAAAATTAAACCATCTTGTATTTACTCGATACATGTACATAAAATAACATTGAATGTAATTACAATTTTTATATTTTAAAAAGTAAACTACATTAATTTGTCAAAATTTGTATTTACTTGATACACAAAAATAACACGATTTTTATATTTTAAAAATTAAACCATTTTGCTTCAGACTCCCAACTTCCCTGTGTCATGAAATTATTAAACTCTGCTCCCATTTCTGGTGGAGTAAAGGTGAAGATCACAGCAGAGGTATCCATTGGAAGGCCTGGGATTTTCTCACACTTGATAAAGCTGAAGGTGGTTTAGGATTCATTAACTTAAAAAACTTCAATACTGCTCTGATCTGTAAGCAGCTCTGGAGAATATCCACTCAACCTCAACTTTTGGTCAGTAAAATTCTGAAAGATAGATACTTTCCAGACTGCTCTATTTTCTCAGCTATCAAAACTCAGAATTGCTTATGGCTTTGGTCTAATTGGTTGGAGGTTCTTCCCACCTTTTCTAAAGGTTATGCTGTGGAAGTTAGGAACGGTGAAACCACAAGAATTGATGAAGTGAATTGGATTCCTTCTCTTTTGCACCTGAAGCCTACTATCTTAGAGATTGCCAAAGACCACATTATCTGGGTGAAGGACCTAATAAATTCCAATGGGACTGCTTGGACAGAATGGCTGATTAAACAACTTTTCAATGAATCAGAGAGTAAGGCCATCCTCAATATATCCACTCTTAAGTCTGGCTGCTCTGACAGGAGATACTGGAAATTTCACAATAAGGGAGTATTTTCTGTTGCAAGCACATACTCATTCTTGTCTCATCAAAAGCTTTTAAAACTGGACATCCCCTGCTGTAGCTCCTACAACAGCAAAGCACCCATTTACAGATTTTGAAAAATGAAAATCCCAGGTAAACTTCAACAGTTTCTTTGGAAGTGTATTAATGGTGCTCTACCTGTTTCATCTAACTTGAAAAAAAGAGGTGTGGATATAGACACTACTTGCCAAAGCTGTGGAGCTTGCCCTGAAACTGTAGAACACATTCTACTCCACTGCCCCAAAGCTAAGATGGTTTGGGACATCTCCCCAGTCACTTGGACAGACACTCACTCTCATGGACCCTTCAAATATTGGTGGGGTCATATCTGCTCCATTGGCTCCTTTGGGATTGACAAAGCCCGCATACAACTCACTACCTACTTACTTTGGTGGCTATGGAAATGCCGCAACCTATGGATCTTTCAGAAAATGACAATCCCAGCTCACAAGTTGGTCCAAATTGCTCATAAGGAATGGCTCGATTTCTGTCAGTTTTAACTTTCTGCTTGGTTTTGTTTTGTATTTTCTTTTCAGTCAGGTTGTTTGGTTCTAGTTTGTTAGGTCCTGGTTGTTTGGTTCTAGTTTTTTCATCTGGTTTGGTTTGTTTTGGTTGTATTCTCTAGGCCTTATGGCAGTGGAGTTGGGTGTTTGAGATTAGTTTGCTTTCGGTTCTAGGCCGCCTTGGCGTGTCCTCTCATTTTTCTATTCGGGTGTGGCTCGTTGTATTATGACAATGTATTTGGTTTTGAGTTTATACATCTTCTATCGTTTCGTTAAAAAAAAAATATATATAAATAAATAAATAAATAAATAAATATTTACTCAATACATGTACATAAAAATAACATTGAATGTAATTACAATTTTTATATTTTAAAAATTAAACTACATTAATTTGTAAAAATTTGTATTTACTTGATACACAAAAATAACACGATTTTTATATTTTAGAAATTAAACCATTTTGTATTTACTTGATACATAAATATAACACAATTTTTGTATTTGAAAACTTAAACCATCTTGTATTTACTCGATACATGTACATAAAAATAACATTCAATGTTATTACATTTTTGTATTTTAAAAATAAAGTACGTTGTATTTACTTAATTATTTTTTGTACGTAATTATTTTTTTCTTTCCAAAATTTATTCCTAATTAATACATGTACACATACAAGGAAAGTAAAGATTTGGAGATATTTTTACACAGTTATTTTACACGATGTCAACATGGATGTTATAAAATCCAATTAATTACTGCCATGTGGCATGGACAGTATAATAGTGACACCCATACATTAGAGATGCTCTTAGGAGGGGATGTGTGTTCGTGGAAGAACGGGGATGTGACGAAGATTTGTATTGTGTGGACCGTGTGTGTTTGGCAAAGTCTAAAAGTAATTTATTTTTTCAGCAAAATTGCAATTAACATCACGACTTTATGACTTTTGCGTTTTGTCACCACTTTGGGACCTTGGCACTTCGATACCTAACCTTTGGTCTTTTGCAAGACTAAGCATTGACCATATCACGGGCCGACCAATACCAACCTGTCCGGTCGTTTATTCAGATGTGGTACTGACGTGGAGGACGTGTCTCAGGCAAAATAAACACCTCAACTCGACGACATCGTTTCATCTTAAAAAATATCTTATAAAATCAAATCACCAACCTTAATTCATCAAATCCCTAAATTCATCCCCAAAACCTTCGACCTTCGAAGAAATTGTTCATTCAACTCCAAAAAATCACTGGAATCTCTACCTTCGACCCTCCCTCCACACATGGCAAGTAGCCCGACCAACAGTGGAGCTTCGAAAGGAAGTGCAACCAACACACATGTCCATTGTACGTAGTGCTACAATTGATTGTATTTTAGTGCTATTTTTAATGAGGATGTATTTTATTAAAAATAACAACACAATTTATAGTAGCATTTGTGAAAATGATAGCACCATGTAATAATAAAAATAACATCATACATAATTAAAAATAGCATCAAATACGATTCTCACGGTTCTCACAGCAGGACTAGTTTTTATTTAAACCAACCCATATATATATATATATATATATATATATATATATATATATATGCACCAAATAGATAACGAAAGAAAGAATGAATTTAGACCATTAGATCACCAAATTAATGGTCATGATCAAGTCAAATTTTAATATTGTTATCAAATATAGAATGGCATTATGGTAAATACTTGAAACTTTTGTGGTCAAATATGTGCAATTGACTACAAATTAAGGGTATAATGGTCATCATTAAAATTACAACTCATCTAGTGGACCCCACACTCTCACACACTAAAACACAAACACAAATATCACCACTCACGCACAAATTCCACACACACACACAGTCCACACGTACGCACACACAAACATACACATATTAGAGCCGGCCACCATGACCCCCGCTAGCGACCAACGGCCGCCGCCACCGTCATCAGCAGTCCTCATCCGGCTACTGCAGTCGACCGTCAACAGCTATTTCATTATTTTATTCACAATTAAATACATTTTAAATGAATATACATTTTGCTAAGTGGAAAGTTATTTTTTAATTTCACCCGATCATAAAGTAATAATTATATTTTTATTAATTTATCAATATTACTATCTAAGAAAATATGAAATGACGTGTCCAATGAAAATTTACTTTTATATGTAAATCATAAGAATATAAAAGATTGAATGGAGATTATTAATATTTTAAATCATTTATTAATTGATAGATAAATTCATTTAAAATAAATATGATTAGTAAAGCTTCAAGTATTTGAAATAAAGCTTCAAATATTTGAAATCAGTACTTATTCCAACTCGTCCTTTTTATATTTTACATTTTTAAAACTGGTTACAGCAATTAATTAACTTAATATATAAAAGAGGACAATTATAATAATAATTAAATTTTATTGTCATAAATTTATTTCAAATATAAACTAAAAATCTTCCTACCCAAATTTTGGGCCACATATACATTGCTTGGTCTATTATATCAATATTTAAATATTTTAATATAGATCCTCATTTTTTTTTTTCATATTAAAAAAAAAGTCTTTTTTCCTTGGATCCTACTACTTTATATAAAGTAATAATAGGTAATATTTGCACATAATTTTGTTGCCTGCACGCAATTTGGTTGTGTCACTCACACGCCGCTTACTGCATTATATTTTGACTTTAATATGATCCGAGGTTTGTCTCTTTCAACCGCTAATTATGGGGAGTCCCACCAGTTTAGTTACATTTATGGATTTTATGGATCTTATGGTTAAAATAAAAGCAATATAAAGTGTTAATATGTTGCTTTTTAGTTTTTTCTGTATGCGAAAGAGTGCTAGTATTTTGCAAAATAAGTGGAGCAATTATATTCTAAATCACAGTAGTAGTCTTTAAACTCATTTCTAAACTCTCTGGTTATTGAACCTTATAAGATATTAATTTTTATATAAAAATTATTAAAGATGATATGATGAAATTGTCATTCCCTCATACTTGGTAAAAAAGTCTGAAATTTGTCCCAAAATTGGTAGAAATCAGATTTAAAATCTATCCAAAATTTGTCTGCAACTAAATTCCAACTTTTGCAGTGAACTGTTGGGATTGTGATAAATTGAAAAAGATGGCCATATAAACAGCGAGCTGTCATTAAATGGACAGGAATCTTTCCTTTTCAATACACACACAATGACACAAATACTTCAAAATTCAAATTGTTTTAGTCATTTCTTTTTCTTCTTTTTCGTCATTCCATTTTTTTTTTAATATTCCAATGTACGCAGCTACAGCACTTTAGCATGTGATGGTGTGACCATTATTTCCTCTGTGCCACAAGCAAAGTTGTTGATGTTGAAAATTCAAAACCTTTGCTATTGTCTTGTTATTATATTGGAAAAAGTAGAAAAATAAATTAGGGAAAAAATCACTGACAGTGATTCTCTTCCCCTTCTTTTCTTTACACCCCGCAAAATTTGCCCCTAATCCACAGTTTCGCTTGTCCTTTCCTTAAAAACACTCGCTACTTCAAAAACAATGGTCTCTATAATTTGAGCTCTCAAAACCCTTTTCTTACATCACAACAATTGTAAAAACTCCTTTCAATCATTCTGCCTCTCTAATGGAGTGAAGTGGGTTCTTGATTTCACCTCGTAAAGATTCAATCTTGGTAAGTTTCCCACCTGCCCTTTTCGATTTCTTGATCTGTTTCTTCGTGTTTCTCAAAATTACCCGTCAAGATTCGATTTTTATTTGCAAAAGAGCCCTAAAAAATACAAAACTGAACAAACAAGATCTTGAATTTTCTTGAATGTAAAGAAAAAAAAAAGATGAGGGATTTCCCTTCTTGTTTCGGTGAAAATGGAGTTCAAGTTGCAGATGCTTCTTGTTCAAGTATACCCACTAACAGAACCCCTCAAAATTCCGTCTCTTGCACATATAAGTGCAAAATCCTAAGCAAACCTTGTTTCATAACTATCATCTGGGGCAAAAATTTGATGGGCCAATGCCTCAGTATAGAAATAGACGATGCATCTCACAAGTGCTTGTGCAAATTCGATGTGAAGCCATCTCTCTTCTCAAAGAGGAAAGGTTCCAAGTCTTTAGATGTCAATTCAAGTAAAATCGAAGTCTTTTGGGACCTCAGCCTGGCCAAATTCGGGCCCGGGCCCGGGCCGGAGCCTATAGAAGGCTATTACATCTCAATACTCTTTAACAAAGAAATGGTTCTCTTAGTTGGGGATCTGAAAAAAGAGGCATTCAAGAAAACCGGCGCCATAGCTCCATTTTCGAGCGCTACGTTTATTTCCAAAAAACAGAACGTTTTTGGAAAAAAGATTTTCTGCACAAAGGCCCAATTTTGCAACAATGGGCCGACTCACGAGGTTAGGATCGAATGCGACCCGAATTGTGAGGAAGAACCGAGTCTCACGATTCGTATAGACTCGAAGCCCGTTATGCAGATTAAGCGTTTGAATTGGAAGTTCAGAGGGAATTGCACAATTTTGGTAGATGGTTTGCCGGTGGAGGTTTTTTGGGATGTTCACAATTGGCTTTTCGGGCCAAATTTGGGGGGTGCGGTTTTTTTGTTTCAGTCGAGCCTTTCGGCTGAGAAGATGTGGGCAGAAGGGCAATCGGTTAATGAGTCGCCCGTTGTTAAGTGGAGTTATTTGGGGAGTTTTAGGGAAGGAGCTGATTTGCCAGGTCTTGCTTTCTCTTTTTTCTTGTATGCTTGGAGGAATGAGTAGCTATAGAGATATTTTCTTAATTTTCAATTGCTCTCAACTTATATATTTTTTGGCTTTGATCATGTTTTTATGAGTGAATATTTTAATGGTGTTGGTTATGTTCTGCTTGTGTTGATTGTATCTGTGTTTGTGTTGATAACATCTGCAAGTAGTGAAAATGAAATGAATGGCCTTAGTCGGTTATTGTAACAAGGTTCAAAATATTGAGGAATAAATATGTAACTTAGCTGGTTTTAAAAGATTTTCCCACTCAAGCATTCAGTTTAGTTTAGTATTTTAAGAATGTTGGTTACTATTACAATGTTTGAAATTAATGTCTCACACTACTATCAAATTGTTGCTGCCAACTGTAAAGTCTTGGCCATAAATAAGTTGATGACTAAACTTTTGCAGCGGATTTTGACTTTCGTGTGACAAATGTGTAGTGAAACAATTTAAATTTAAATTAATAGAGTGCCACTTTTATACCCGTGAGTGACCAGTTCAAAAGACTATTTTTTTTTTTTTTGAATTGCATAGGAATGATGCACAATTTTGGTCCTTTTTGTGGAAAAAAGGGTTACCTATAGTCTACTTTATTGCTTATAATAAATCATCCGTCTCCCTTTAGAATTATTATTATGATTATCTAACAAGTAAAAATTCTTTTCTTTTTCTTCATTGTTATCTCCTGTATATATATATATATGTAGAAATAACGAAGTGGTTAAGATCAGTATTTTTCAACTCGGACCGGCCCAGCGGGTCGACCCGGGACCCGGTCGACCCGGAGCTGGAACCGGTCCGGGTGGGCTATTCGGACCGGGAAACAACGGACCCAGTCAAACCCGGTCAACCCACCATTGACCCGGTCGACCAGGGGCATTGACCCGACTGGGTCAACCCGGTTGACCCGGTCCTATATATTTTTTTTATTTTTTAATATATTTTTTGTTTTTTAAAAAAAAAACTATTTATATATATTTATATGGTAAATATTTATCATGAAATACATATTATTAGTACTTTAATGTGCAAATTTTATATACAAAATATTTAATTTTGTTATTTTTATGTATATTTATAAGACAAAATACTCTATATAATTTAAAAAAAATTAAAATTAATTATCCGGTTCAGCAATTGACCCGGTGACCCGGCGGTTGAACCGGTGACCCGGAGACCTGCCCGGGTCGGGCCGGGTTTAAAAACTATGGTTAAGATACAAAATTAGCCAATTAAGCCTCGGTCAATTTGGAAATAGCAAACCCAACTTTTAAATTAAAAACTGTCCCCCATCGATTTGGTGACCTAAAAATTAGTAATGCGAATGCGATACTATAAACAGAAATTTTGTATGGCCTCCATTACCTTACCAAGTTAACTATTTAAAATGAATTTTCTCCGTAAATAAACATATTAAGGGGGAAAAGGAAAATAAAGACTGAGGAGCGATATAATTGGAGCTACTATTTAAACACTCAATTCCAATTCAAAAAAANGAAATAAAAAAAAAAAAAAAAAAAAAAAATTCTACTTTAAACTACTGAAAAATGTCGTAGGGGAAGATATAGACAAATTACCCTTCAAAACACTCATCATGTACATAAATGTGGTCCATTTCTCATACAGCATGCTGTCTGGAGCAATAATGAACAAGTTCTTTTCGTGACCCGAATTATGTATCACGCTTTTGTTAGGTAAAAAAATAAGTAAATGGTATGTGTTGTTAGTGTCAAAAGTGTGCCCATGCCAATCCCCACAAGTCTTCTTAACCCTTGCCATTTTTGACAAACCCTTGGGCCTTTTAGCACTGAGACATGTCAATAATGAGCCGGGCCGGGCCGGGCTGGGTGATGTTGATTCGATCAAGCTAGGTCTTTGCTTTTTCATGGTCCAATTCGACCGGACAACACTTTTTACACACTTTTTGTCGGTCTTTGGGTTGTCCGAGACCAGTCCGTATAAGCAAACGCCAGTCAATCCTATATGCAAGTCAGGCTAACATGACCAAATTCTTCGTATTACGCGTACATTTACAAATTCATAAGGTCGGAGTAAATTGTTGATGGTGCTCAGTTTTCTTCGGATTCAAGCATTTCTAATCGTGGGTCTTCTGACGAGTATCATTTTCATTTTCATATTCATTATTCGGAGTTTTGTATCTCATGAGATGGATCCATGATAGCTGGGATGATTTGCAGAAACTCCTGGTCTAAGTAAACCTGAAGAGTGATAACTTGAAATAGTACTGAGAAGTGAACTCCACTGAAGATGAAAAATGTTCAAATTGTATTTTGCAAGAGCATATTACGCAGACATAAAACACTACCCATCTTCACAAGAAAGTAGTGAAACGTACTCACGAGCATCAATTTCCTTCTCTATCATCTTTAGAGAAAAAATGCACACACAAACCAGAAAATCAAAACCTACTTTGTCATAACTTGATGGATACACCACATAGAGTTCAAACATTATTGACAGGAACACAGAACTTTACAAAGCCACAACATCACTTATTCAAGAAAAAACGCTCCCTACAACAATATTACCTCACAAGAAAGCCACATCATCACCTATTCAAGATTAAGTATCTCACAAGAGCTAACATACAAGTAACGACTTAAAAAACTATCTAATCACACATTTCTTCATCAAAACTATACTTACCTCGCCTATATTACACAAAATATCGAAAATCGAACACACAAACCAACATACCTCTCTAACGGCTCTTCTCCACTGTCGCTAAATCCAAACTCGACCCATAAGCCTTGTCAAGAGCACTCGCACACCAACCATGTCCATCATCCACAGTCGGCATCCTAACCTCCATAACCGGGCCCACGGGCCCCTGACCGCCCGGCATCACCACACCCACAAAAACCCTCAACTCACTCGACGCATCAATATCAAGACATATAGCAATCTCCGGTACACCTTTAGGCGCCGAGGGTATTCCCGTAATTTTGAAGAACCCCAAGAGATTGTTCTTCTCCACTGCTTTCTCATTACCCTCATACACAACCACAAGAGCTTCTGTTTGGTTATCATGAACTGTCGTGAAAATCACGTCCCTTTTAACCGGAACAGTCGTGTTCGGATGTATAATCGGGACAAACGTGTTTCCGTGGGCCCGAATCCCAATCCCAAGTGGAGTCGCCTGAATAGTCAAGAGATCAAGGCTCCCAAACGGGTCGTTCACTCCCGAAGCCACCGCCCCTTCCAAAGCGGCCCCACAAACCGCACCCTCAAACCGGTCAATCCCTAAATAAATCTCTCTCCCACAAACGCCCTTCACAATCTCCTGTATTTTAGGAATTTCCGAACACCCACCGACAAGAATCACATCGTTCAAGTCCTTCGCGTCGATTTTCGCATCGCGTAAGCACGTAACGATTAAATTTTCACATTCGTCGAATATTTCGCGATTCACTTCCTCAAACTCCCGCCTGCTGAGGACCCGGCAAATTTTCCTCCCGTTCTTTAAGTCGACATCGACGCCCACTTCAAGCCGAGTCGAGAGCCCGTGGATAGCTTCCTGGACCGCAACCCGGAGCAAACCCATCCTTTTTATCTCCTCGGGCCCACGTAGCCCGAACTTGCCCTCCGGGCCAGGCGCCAGGTGGCGAATTGTATTCGCTAACAAATCCTCTCCCCCCAACGCAACTCCCGAGAGCGCCTTTATCTGCGAGACCCCGCCAGCAGTGGCAGAAACTGCCACGTCGCAAAAACCGGCTCCCACGTTTACTATGACCGCAATTTTCTCATTTCCGATATTCTCGTTCGTGTTCTGCTGCTGTGCGTAGAGAAGGGCGACTGCAGTTGGCTCGGGCATCAGCCTCAAGACGTGAAGGCCTGCCATGGCGCAGGCCCGTTCGACTCTCGTTGTTTGAAACCGGCTGAAAGAGACGGGGACTGTTAAAACGGCCTTTCGCACGGGCTGGCGCAAATGGGCCTCGGCCAAGGCCCGAATCTCGACGAGGAGCACTGCAAGGGCCTCTTCTGGGGTAGTCGACCGCCATGCATTCTGAACGAGGGCAGCTATAAATGGGCGAACGCCGATGTTAAGCGTCTGGACTAAGAATGGGAGGGTCTCGGCTGCACGGGCCAGGGTAGGGTCCAGGTCAGATCGGCCCACGAGGCGCTTGATGTTGAAAATGGTGGAGCCTGATAGGACTTGTGGCTCGCCGCCGCCTGAAGGGTGGCCGATAGTCGGGGGGCCGATGTCCCTGAAGGCGACACACGAGCGTAGGGACGTTTGGCCGCGGGAGTTGCGGAGGAGCACGACTCGGGAGTCGTGCCAGATGGCGGCGCGGCAGTGGGAGGTGCCGATGTCGATACCGATCGCGATCTCGGGGAAGAGGGACGAGGGTTTTTCGTCGCCGATGGTTTCGCTGTCGGATGCCACGGTGTATGCTTGTTGTTCAGCCATTTGCGGTACCTAACGAACTTTTTTTTTTTTTTTTTCAGAAATTCTTCAGATTTTAGTGAGAAAATGTGTAGTAGTATAAAACTTCTTTTGGCTCTTCAAATCTTGAAATTTAAAGGAGTGGAACTTAATTATCTTGACTACTCATTATCGAAAGCATTGTATTAAGATAATCTAACGGACAATTAGACAGTCGAAGAAAAATGTTCTTTTGTGGTAGGATTCCAGACTTCAAAGAGTATGATGTCACCTTCATGCTTTTCGACAGGCATGTAAGCATCATTCTATGCATCTTTCATCTCTGAGGAATTTCATGTTCATTTCAGAAAATAGGAAATTTTACTATCAGCTAGTCACAGATGCACTGTGATAATCAAAAACCTAGGTAAACAACATTTCTAGCCCTCGTGAGTCTTGTAGTTCATAGGTGATTGAGATCTCAAGATTCATATGATTATTTCTCAATCTCAAATCAATCTTGTTTAGACTCTTCAAACTTGAAACGTTTAAAGGAATAGCACCATGACTAATTCGAATTTTCTGTTTTTGTGGTAGAAGCATAAAAACTACTTCACTAAACTACCATTGATAATATCAGTCATTCGTACAAGCTACTTCTATTATAACAATCCAAGAGAAACGAATGTGGTTTGCAAATTGTCAACAATATAACACCACTCAGACATTTCAGCAAACATGTAAGAAACATATGATGTGAACGAGAGCCCTAGAATAAAAATTAACACAAATGTACTAAACCACCGAGAACAAGAAAATATATACCCTGTTTTAACTGATAAAACCTGCATAACTCCTTAAAAGAATACAATAAACATGCACTAACAATAGAACATAACAGAAGGCAGACAAAAACGAAAATAGAAAACCATAAAGAAGCGAATATTGAAAACGAATTAGATCAAAGAACGACAAATTATCGAAAGGAATGGTTGCATAAATTGGACCGCTAATAAATACCAGCAGCATTGAGAATGCGATAACAAAGCTGACAGATTACCATTCATATAATGGAAAAAGCGAAGAAGATTAGAAAAGGCTTACTTTCACGAAATACTGCGCGTGAGATTGAAGAGAGATGAGAAGAGCTGTAGAGGTTGAAGCAGAAGTGCAGAGTGTAGAGAAGAAAAGAACAATCTATACTTTCTACACCGACTCGCATTTTCTAGACCTTCCGAGAGTTGGAGAGAGTTCTGTTGAATTTCTCTTTAATTTTCACTTTCTATAACTTGATTCCCAAACACTAGTACAAATCCTAATATTTATAATTAAAAATTGTCATTAAATAATATTTATAAATATATTTAATACAACGTACCTATATTAATTTATATAAAAAATGTTATATAAAATTTAAATTGTGCAAAAATACAATAAAATGTCTAATTAAAATTATTACACAACCCGTACTTTGCACATAACTGCTAATAAAGTACATTATACTCGTTTCAAAATATGCGTCATTTCAAAATTTTTATTCAGAAATTCGATTTGACTATAACGTGATTCCATAAAATAATTATTTTGGTAAAATTTTATCATATATTTAAAAACCTATGTGAATATAAATATAAAACTTATATTGTTTCGTTAATTAAGATAATCTATTTTTGTATAAAATATTCAAATAAAAAAATTTAAGTAGCTGAATAAAAACAATCAATCATAAGATGTTTTTATGCCACAAAAATCAACACTCGTTATCATGCATGCTAAAAAAAATGAACAGTGCATTTCATACAAAAATTATTTGAAATGTCCTAACAAAAAATGAATTAAATCGAGACAAAATGAACATAATTTTTTCTATAAAAAAACATGGATACACGCACATTATATCAAAAATCCATTCATGGAATTTTGTCGGAGTTACAGTAATTTTATTATGTTAATTTCATACGAAAAATTGAAATAAAAATGAAACCCACGCCTAAAAATCAATATATTGATCTGCGCATTACAGAAAAAAGTACACCGTATATTGATTAATTTTTCAACAAACATGAATTTTCTTACCAAAAATCAGTCATCAAATAACCTAAATAAATTTGTTCACTTTATACCATATATTGATTAATTTATTTCCCATAGAAACAACTATCAATACCAAAAATAAATTCGTTCACTTTTATACCATATATTAATTAATTCATATGATTTGAGTAATCAAGGTATCTTAAAATATGATTTAATTACTTCCTTATATAATGATTCGCAATTTCCATAAGTGATCATTTTGAAATATAGCATAAATTGTTAAATTAATTTCTCAAAATAGTAAATAAATATTTTTATAGGGAAATAGTTACTATTTAAAAAATAATCAAATATTTATATATANGTGATTACAATTTTGACTATAAAAACTTTGACAACAATTTTGACTATAAAAATTTTGACTATATAAATGCAATGTGTTCTTCCATACTATAACCATAAAAATGCTTGTTAAGGGCACTTTTAGAGTAGTTTTTTTTTAAAAAAAAAATAAAAATTATTCAATTTAGTCTTTAAGAAATAAGTTTTAAATAATGACAATCACATCTATATTTATCTACATCTATATATATATAAAGAGATTGTTGGAAAAATACATTAATAGAAAGTTTGACCAAATAAATATAATGTTTGACTTACTATTAAGGGAAAGTTCAAAAAAACACATGTGCATCTTTAGTAACAAAATCTAAATCCTATCTTTTTGGTAACAAATTTAGAGATTTTTATGGCAAAATTTGAATCCCATTTTTTTCGTATCATATTTTATTTTTTTACCAAAATTTAAATCATATCTTTTTTTGTAACAAATTTGGAGATTCTTATGGCAAAAATATGTCAATTATTTATGAAAATAATTCTAAATACAAATTAATTTAAAAACCGTGCAAAGTGGATAAAAATTTAGGAAGCAAATATTTGTATAATTCTTAACCAATTCTTCTAATCTTATTGAATAATTTTTTCTTTCAACAAAATTGTGTAAATTGGATAAAACCACGTGCAATTTTTATTTTAAAATAAAACTGATATTTGGACGGGATGTACATTCAAAATTGTGTCCATATTTTTTGGTAACAAAAGCGGTTCACCATTGATATTTAAAACCACCTTATCCAATTATTTAGGAAAAATTGTGTGCAACTTTTCAAAATTTAAATCCATCAATTTTTTTGGATTTTTATGTATTTCATAACCATGTTTTACCGAGATTTTGGTAAGTTCATATTAGTATTAATTTTTTTTGGTTAAGTTCATATCATTTTCTTTAGGAAAGAGACAGTTGCATAAACATTAACAATTTATTTCAATTTTTTATTAGAATTATTTTCAATTCAATTTGTTTGGTACAAAAATCGGTGCAATGTTAGGACAATTCGGTTGCATTTTTAGGAAAAATTGATGATTTTTTTTATTTGGTTTAAAAAAAAATTATATCAATTTTGTTGATAAAAAAATCAGTTTATTGGTAGAAAAATTGGTTTCATTTTCAGGAGTAACTAATGATTCTTTTCAATTTTTCTTAATTGAAATTTAGAATTAGATTTAAAATAAATAATAAGTGAAAATCCCTAATAAATTCTACTTTTTTTTTTCTAATTTAATTTTATTTAATAAATAAGATCTTTTTTTTTTTAAAATTTGTTATCTAATAACTAATAATATGCAATTTTGGATAAATTCCAACACATATGTAGTACTTTACGTACCCAACAATCAAATCAATAATGTTGTACAAAAGGAAGTGTTTAATAACATATAAATTTTATTTTCATGAAATTTTTAATGGCATGAGACAATTTAAATACAGAAATACCTTTTAAAAATAAATGGATAGTAAATGTTCCCGTGCATCGCACGGGTACCGTACTAGTATATTGAAAGAGGATGATGGAATAATCTGAAATAGTAACTTTGACTTTGTAATTAAATAGGTTGACTTACTATTAAAGGAAATATAATAAAAATTACTTTAATATTTATAAAAAATAAAAATTAAATTATACCTACCTATGGTAAATCGTGTAATCCAGTTAATATTATGATTTTCTATATAAATAAGTGGTATCAGTTTTTAAATTATTTTGTGATAATTATCGCAATAAAATTTTGATTTATCTTGTTAATTACGAATCACTACAAATTCTTATTCTTTTGGTAACGGACCATACAACATGTCTTCAAAAATGTCTCTTAAATATATTTTAATTTTAAAAATTATTATTTGAATATGCACGGTAAGATTGCAAATATACTTACAAAATAAAAATTGAAAATCAATTATGGAAATTTATTATGACATTAATAACAAATCACGGTGATTTCTTATTCATTTGGTAAACCAACCATATACCAAAATATTTGTTATCGTATCTTCAAAAAATAATTTAATTTAGATGATTATTAGAATCCTTAGATTTATTAATAACTCAACCGTTCTAATTTTTCAAAATTTATAAACTCAATTTTCTAAAATATCAAAAGAAATTTAACTATTTATCTTTAGTAACAAACAAATTTTAATCCTTAATAAAAAATCATGCATTCTTCTGTTTTGTTGGGTATCGAGCCATATGTATACAGAAATATGCGTGAGCACATTGCAAAATATAAGTATAAAATAAACTTAGAAATCAATTGCAAAAATCTTATTCATATAACTACCACAATACTATAATAAAATTGATATTTCAAAATTAATAATAAATTCCTACGATTTTCTATTCATTTTGTAACGAGTCATATATTAAAAATCATCTATTCAAGGAATTCATAAATATACTATGATTTTATCAGTAACTGCACCAAACTAACTTTTTAAAAATTCATATTGCGATTCACAATATCCTAACAAATCTCATATAAATTAATAAATAAGAAATAAAAACTAAAATATTTATAATATTATAAATTATAAGAAAAAATAAAATAATATTAATGTAATTAAAAATTAAAAAATTTTTTAACTTCAAAATAATATATATTATAATATTTTTCAATTAAGTGTTGGTTATAATATTTGCCACAATTTTTCAACTTTAGCCTAACTTGGTTAGACATCGAAATAATATATTTTAACAAGATATGAGATAAGAGAAGATAGAGGGAGAGAAGTATTATGTGAGTATTATTTATTGATAATATTTGAATATATTAAATTTTTGTTATACTTAATTATAAACAGGATCTAAAATGACACTATTTTATAACGAGTGAAATAATCATATAAATTATATATTAAATTATTATATGTCATAAAATAAAAAAAAATAATTATTAATATTCAAAATTATTTTTATACTAATCAATATTACTTGATTATAATTCATTGATTTATACTTGCAATTATCATTATTGTCTCGTGGATCGCACGAACTACGTACTAGTTGATTGTAATTCAATTACTTCATCCTATCTATCACTATATGAGAGAGAGAGGGAGGAAGGGAGAGAGATTTACTTGAAATAGTAGTAGAATTTCCCCTTAAAATTTTTAAAGTTACTATTCTTAGTATTTTTTTTTTTAAAATGGAGGCTAAATGAAAATTCAAATTCAAGTTAAAAAAAAATATTTGAGAAAGATATTGTGTAAACCTATCCTTTTAACAAAGCCAATTATTTCTTTAAATTGTACACGTATCTTTAAAATCAGCCAACAAAAAAATCTGCTCAATTATTTCCGTGATTTCCTCAAATAATTCATGTGAATCATTAGAGCATCTCCAATGCTATAAGTGTGAAAGACCATTATTTTTAACACATGTCAATCAGTAATTGTAATGTTAATCCACATTGGAATAATGTTAAAAGACTAGAAATTTCAATGGAACTAGTATCTCCAATGCATCAATTTGATAAGAAGTTATTTGTATAGGTGGACCAATTAAATAATTCATTGATATAAAAAAAAATAAAAAATAAAAACAAATATAAAGTAAATTGATGAGTCATCATATTTAACATGGTGTTAGATATTAGAAAGTGTGCTCAACATTGTCAACATTAAATGACATCCACCTCATCATGAAAGAGTTCATAACAAGATGCATTGGAGAAAAAAATAGAGATACACTTTCAAAAATTGGTGATATGGATAACTTTTTATAATGTCAAAAGTTGCATTGGAGATGCTTTTAAAAATTTCATTTATTCAATCCTTTCAGTTAGTTACCAAAAAATCTCAATAACCAAAATTACATCTTAATGTATATTTTAATAGGGATCAATTTGAAAATATACATACAGTTTGAAAATATATTGGATCAATTTTTAATTAATGATTTGTTCGAAAATTGCAAAGAATCATACATGGGAGAAACAATCCAAAACTTTGCTGATTCTAAATAGACTTTTGATATAAAATAAATAAAACATATATCCTTGCATCATCATAAAAACTACATTACTAGATATACGATTTGATTCTATGTTTAAATTGTTAACGATATTCTTATTTCCGATAACACATCTCCTATTTTTACATCACATTAATTTTAATCATTTAAAAACTACAGTACTAGATATACGATTTGATTCTATGTTTAAATTGTTAACGATGTTCTTATTTCCGATAACACATCTCCTACTTTTACATCACATTAATTTTAATCATTATATTTTAAATATTATTTAAATACGCTCAAAATCCCAGTCACTTCTCCAATAAATCCAATCAAAACAAAATATTCCCTCCTTTTTTTAATAAATGTCTTTTTAAAAAATTGCACAATAATTAAGAATATTTATTTTACCAATAATAACCCCCATTAATGAGGATAGAGATAGATGTTTTGAGAAAAGATGAATAGTGAATATGAAAAGACATAATATATTTATTAGTTAAATAATGATAATAATGAAAAATATGCACAAAAGATCAAAAACTTCATCTATTTGTTTAATTGTTGATAAAGCCAAAATGACATTTACAAAAAAAAGGAGGTAGTATTTTATATCCAATCACCCAAATTCTGGCAAAATATGCCAATAAACAAACAAGGCCTAAACTTTGTCATGCCACAACATTATAAATCAAATGATTAAATTTTCGCATAATCACCATGCTAAAGCAAATTCCCCATGGATGTAAAGTATAGAAAATGGGTCATTTTTACACTATTGTATAGAGATGACAGAGATCCAGTTTGGTTACTACAAAAATCCAGAACATAAAATTAAAGTATAGTCACTTGCAGAGGTTAAAACCTGGGCAGCTTCTAGTTGATTCTTGCATTAGTTTCAGGTAAAACTACTCCAAGCAAAGCAGTTTTTGTTCTGAGTTCCTAAAGCAAGTTCGAGTTGAAGAAGTTACGGTAATCTTTGATCAAGCCATTATAAGAGACTGGTTAAGAGAGAAATCTCAAAGTATAGTTAGAAAGCAAACTGTGTTATGCATTATTAGCTCTGGGCGAACTGGAATCCCCAATTTCTATTTGTTGTGAAGGCAGTGTCTTGGGTTTACTTCTTAAGAAGTTCTTTGAGTATATGGAACCGAATACAATTACCTGACCGAAAATTCAAAACAAAAAAAGGGAATCAAGATGACAAAATAAAACATACATAGAGTTAGTATAGGCAGAAATTAATCAAGATGAATACTTACAGCTCCTATCAATTGTTCCGAGCTGAGTGGGTGTGAAAACCACAGGCAGGACAATAGAATGCTTACCAACTGCATTAACAAGTATGTAAATTACTCAATTAATAAGTGTGTTTACATATTTGTAGATAACACCTCGTGAAATCAACCAATTACTATACCTGTCTCGTTGTCATTATAGTGGCAAAGGCCAGAGCACCGAAGTTGCGAATGGTGTAGGAAATAAAGAATTGACTAATTGTTGCTACCTGATAATAAAAGGAACGTCAAGTATAATGTATTTTATTTCAAAGAGAAATTTAAATTTATGTGTTCGCAAATGAGGAACTACAGATAGAAAAAATTAGTTAATAGGTAACTCGGGATTGATGAAATTTAGGTTTTATATGTAAGGAAAAATAGCATAGGTTCAATGACTTACAGTGGAAAGAATTGCGATGTCGATGAAACATTCGTTATGCCGAATAACAAAGTCTATAGCCATTTGAAGATTGCCTTGTAAGATTAGACCTATTTGATTAATCAATATAACCATATAAATGCATCAGCCGGTAAAATGCAAATTGATGTACAGATGTAACAAAAACAAACTCATAAACCATGCATGAAGAACGTACTCATGAACACATCAAAAGAGTTCTGCATAATTATAAGGAGGCATTAGGTCAATTCGATAGGAGTCGTAAAAACTGCTAGAGTTTCACCTATCATAACCAGTGAAACTGATCATGAGTCAAACATTTATCTTACCAGTGAAACTTATCATGCAAGAACACAAGGTCGTGTAGAATATCTGATTGTGTATCTCCATATCATAGCCCTTGAAAAGTTTATCCTGAAATGTACTTGTGAAGCCATCAAACCTGAAAGAGTTTCCAATAAGTGTTAATTGGTTTGAAACGAGAATCAGCAAAAATATATTGACATCGTACACAGAGAAGGTTAACTCATAACTGCATAGCTGATCGTGGATATTAAACCAATAAGACATAGGACACCCTGGTCTAGCGTTTAGATGGAAAATTGTAATGCATTACTACTATAGTTTGGGATAAATTTCTGATCATAAAGAGCACTATTAAGAAATGCAACTGTGGCATACTAGTACAGGGAGTTTTGTGTTACACAAGTCATTTAACATACTAGGTTCTCTAATCTCCAGGGTTTTCAAATCAACATAATGCACTACAACTTGAGCGGGGTTCTTCAGAGAGGCCGGAAGATATAGGAAGAAATTTGTTCTTGGAAGAAGCAGGAGTAAGTGTGCTCTAGAACGAGATGAGAAAATAGAGTAATAATATAGTTATTACCTTGTATTTTCCAGAAAAAAAAAATGAATAAATAAAATAAAAGACAACCTGTTAAAAAAGCCACAACATCCTCACTAAAGCTGTTGAGAACTAAAGCAAATCCGAACTTCTCTATTTCTTTCTAGCATCCTCTCTCTCCACCCCTTCCAATACCACCAGAATTGAAAGGCAGCGTTTCATACCATTTCTCAAAGATATCAAAATGGTCATATGAGCATTTTATCCAGAAGAGGCATTTGGATGAATATACCATGTAGACCAAAGACACATAATTATAAATTTTGACTTCTAAAGCATGTCAGCAATCCAACACCTATGTGGATTTAGTTTCAATTCCATTGAGAAGAAAAGGGGGAAGGAACTCAATGTAGCTCTTAACTTCCGTCAGTTGAACGACTATAATTGGGGGAAGGAAAGCCTTACGTACCGATTATCCTGCTTAGCAATTTTTATTTGTTGAGGCATATCTTATACAAGGTTAGAAAGAGATGCATCACTACTCATCAGCCCTACTCAAAATGCAGATAAAGTATCAGGCATTCATTCAGGAATTACAGAAAAAAGATAAACAGGAGACATACTTCCTTAATGGACGTTTCATATTTGCACACGGAAGGTGCAGTAATTTGGGAAGATGATAACAATGTTATCAATGGCGGATAGAAACCCATGGCCGTGCGGTAAAACCACATTTATGTAATTTTCTGCCACGTCATACCGTCACAACGGTGCCATGAGTCCGATTTGACAACACTGGTTGATATTTACCGTCACACTAGTTTTTGCAAGTACAATGATCACTAGTATACTACACATTTTACCATGTTCCAGTGGTAGGTTGGGGCAGCTTTCCAAGTACCAACCTCCCCAGATATATCCATGTCCCCAATGCTACATCTTTTAGGATATGCATTGAAATTTGAAGGACGCAGCAGAAGATTTCATTATAACTTCAAAGGAACAAAGATAACAGTCATGGCTGACAAACAATAAAACATTCATCATAACTTTACCACACTACTTTTATACCCAGCTGAGGCTAGTCATCCCCTCCAGAAATGTAAACAAGGGTTGATTGGCATAGAAATTCACAAATCAGTATACGTCCAATAAAATAAATATTATTCCCCAAAATCAGCCAATTAAAAATCCATTTTTCTTCTTCAAGTTCTCATGAACCTAAGCTGTCAGTAAGCTCCCTAGTATCTGTATTCTTTTGAATATTATTGACAAAGTACCTTAATTTAACAAAAAAATTACATGATGTATAAATTATCCCAATAAATAATACTGAACTTTAAACAGCCAATATAGCAAATAGCAAATAAAATTTGTCTTGGGAGNTTTTGCAACGACATTGTTCACAACTCATGCTTTATTGGCCCAAAGATTACTTCAAATCTACCGATAAAAGAAAAAAATTATTTCAAATCTAGTACAGTAATGGAGCAAATAAACTCATACTTCGTCACATTCATTTCATGTTATATGTACAACTCATACATATTAAGGTCATGACCTTGGAGAGGGTTACATTGAATATTGTACACTTGATAATTGGGAAAATTTTGCAGTCGGTCATTTTGAAGAAGCCATTTGAGCACTTCTCTACTAATTCTGAAGTGGAACAGTTCCTAGGACTTATTTAATTTCCAGAGAGTATATAGTGAGAAAGTCGAGTGGAGTAAAGAGAATGATGACCTGATTAAAAGGAGGAAAGATTCAAGGAATTAATATGAAGTATATAACTTGCCCTGAACATCTGCCAACAACAAAGGTTTATTTTCCCTATCTTCTAATGCAATGGCTAGAGACAATATATATACTATCGTGCCAAACAAGGTAGAATATTCCAGTCAATAGGCACAACTTATATAGTAACATCATCACTTCTTCAATATTCATCAATCCCGATGATTGGATCTTTTCTAGAAGTACACTACATTCTTTCGTTGTGGAGGGAGATCATATTTTAAAAATACAAAATTGATAATCGAATCAGACAATAAAGCATATTTGCAACAAACATGCTTTAATTTCTACTTGAGAATAATTTAGTTACATGCTTTAGATGAGCTTATTTATCATACCCAAGATAACCAATCATCAAAGACACACCCCAAACTGTGCTTTCTCTCCCTCTACTGTATGGACTGATATCACCATCTGCCTGCACTCAATAAAATTATTGCCACCTGTCAACTAAACAACTTCACAAAACATATATAAAGTTAACAACTAAGCCACGTATATCTCACTGATCGAGTATGATCTGATTTATAATATCAAAATGATATTCTGAAGTTTGAGCATCATGATAGTTCTCACAACAACTTCTGCTAGGTAGTTCACACGCCAGATGCAAGCAAAACTAATATATACGAAGACTGGTAGTTACTGACAACAGCAATTATTTTATCTCCCCAGCTTACTGTCACAAGTTCCAGAAAGGCTCCTGACCTACTTTCTTTCAGAGAATAAAGGCACAACAGAGAAAACTTCATATTATGTTTCCGTCATTCCTTCAGTCCGAATGGCTGCGAATTCGCTTATTCTGTGTTCGAAGCTAATTCATCTTTTAAGGTTCAATCTGATAATAGTAAGATAGCCGTGGTATAGGTATAGAATCTATTCTCAAGCACTTGAAACATGACTAATGGTCTCAATGTCAATTTAACAAGTCATATTAGAGGAATTCATGCTTCTTAAATTACTAGACATTTTTATATAATGAAATTAGATTTTGTCATTTCTATGGTTTTCCTAAATACCTGATAAAGAATGGAGTGGTAGCAAGATGGATTGGAAAAACCAATAATCCCATTAAAATTTTGCTCTTCTTGTTAACATTCTAAGGAAATAACTGGCATACAGACATAACGAGAAAGACTGAATAACATACCGGAAATAATATAAAAATCGAGCATCCAAGTGTCACAAAGAAGGCAAATAGATAATCACGTCCAGTGTACTTCTTTTGCATGATGAAAGTGCCCCAAATCTGCACCCAAAATAAGTAAAATATAATGGGATATAATAAAAAATTGAGCAACTTTCACACATCCTAAAATGTCTAAAACTGTAGAAGACTACAATCAGGATTTACTATTCATGAAGTCAACTTAAGTTTGTGAAATGCAACAATTCCAGAGTTACGAAGGACTGGTCTTTTTAGTAGAACCTTAGAATTTCCGTCCTTGCTTCCAGATTTAAACATAATATTGAACAAAGAACGGCACACTCTTACAAGTGTAAGAAATCAATTAGTTAGTAGTAGAAGTTTTATTTATTCAATGACCAGAGTTTAACAGATGTATAACAAGGAGAATCAGAACAAAACATTGTTTACTTGCACCAAGTTTCTAAGGGCCAGTATAAGACCTACTCGAAATAAAATGCATCCCATTGTGAAATATCACAAGATACCCCCTTATTAAGAAATAGCATGATAAACCCACGCGTTTACGTGCATCAGGTTATTTGCTAGATTTTGTGTATGATGATTAATTAAAAATAATGTCCCAGTGTTTATTTAACCTACGATTAGATCTCTCGACTGAGGGTTATTACCTATTTCAACTTAGAGAGCAATGTAATAGCCCCTATCCCATGAGGGTTTTAGAAAATATGGAAGGACTGTTTGATGAAGTAGTCATTTGACCTCATGGTTGGTGCAAAATCACCAGTTCAATGTTGAGGTGAAGCAAATTAGGAATGAAGGACAAGGACAATCAGCAAGGACGACATAAGAGCATGAGTCAGGCTATGCAAAGCAGGTGTAAAGATTCTATAAAATAGTCCTCCACAAAGAAAGTTTGACATAGAAAATTACATCAAACCATGTCAACCTTTTCCACCTTTGGGCATCAGGAAAAATATATTTGCTCTCATTGAATTTTAGTCACTGTCCACTTCGAATATTTTTCTACTACTAAGGAAGTAGTCAATTTGTGATTTAGCATTGAGTTTTAGTCACAGAATACACATATTCTTCTAGTGGTCAGGAAGTGTTCAGTTTAGGATTTATTTAAACCCACTTTCCAATGTGATCAAATGATAATCTTCCTTAAAGAAGGTATTACCATAATAATAAAATCACAAGATATTGAAAAGCATGATATGACTCCAACATCATCATTTCCAAAACTAAATCTGTAATCTCCCATAAATTCTTTGATAATCTTCCCCACATGCACATTTTTAAAGAATCACAATAGGTTGAACTTTATTGGGTATGTGCAGGTGGGTCATCAAAATTTGAAGAAATCTACCATAATAAGGTGTTTAATAAATAAATAGCAGATACGAGAATTTTAAACACTCACCATTACAGGTATCATTTTGGCACACTTTGCCAGTGTTTGAACAGGGAAACTCACATATTTAAGGGCCTGGAGTAAGTCAGGTCCAAAAACAAAAGAAATAAATGAAATGTAAGCATTTCTCTTTACATCTTAACATATTAGGATATATACTTGAAAAACGAATCAATCTATCTAAAAGTAAATAACAGAAGATCATCTGCTTGCAGTAATTCAGCATATGGCTTTGCCGTCATCATTCTACTCAACGAATAAAGCTCACCTCATACTGACAAGTTGTAGTGAGTATATTAGATACTGATACAGCACCATATTTGTAAATTGGAGCAACAGGGTCCAAGGCCTTTTTACTTGCCTGGAGAATAAATGAGGGATTAAATACTATGCTCTCAAATATAAAACCCTTGAAGTTACAATAATCCAACTGATGCAGTTTGTGATTTTAATACCATGTACCAAACAATTTGCAGTTTGCAAGCCACAGTTTTATGTTTTTTTAACAGCAACAGCATGACTATGTCAATGAAGCAAAGCAAGCGAAGCTACTTTATAGTAACCAATTGAATCACAAAAATCTAAAGTTGCAAAAATCAACTATTAGTTGCTAAACAATTTTAATATGCACAATAAGGAAATCAACGGGTCTGGTAAGGATGACAGTTACCAGTAGGACTCCAGCAGAAACAGCAGATGTTGCGATACGGTTGCAAAAGACGAGAAATAATGAGTGCTTAAAATATTCTTTCTCGGGACCATATGGAACTCTCATAATCTTTTCCTGAAACAAGCAATTTTCAGCCAGTTTCTCAACAAACAGATTTTAACAAGCTAGCTAAAGATTAAAAAAATAATAATAATAAATAAACCAACATGAGATTTCCTTAAGAAGTTTATTGTTTTCATCCTTTTTTTTCTTCTGAAGATAATACAATTCCTAACCTTGATTGGTTTAAAATCAGGTCACAAAAGTGTCACCTTGATATCAGTTAGAGAAACAATCCACCACAAGAAGTTTTTTTACCTGCAATACTCCATATATAAGAAGTGTGGCCATAATTCCGGCCACAGCAAAGGCCAGTTTGAAGACCTTGTTCTCTTTCAGATTCTGCATCATCTGCGATGGTGGCTCCGCCATAACCAAGTGCAAACATCCGCCGGCGCCGCCAGCACACTTCCGCCTCACTGAATCACACTTTTGATCCGACGGCCACCGTGAAACCAGTATCGTTTCAACGCCAATCAGGAAGTCAAGGTGACAAACCAAACACACTCACAGACAATAGAGGGAAAGAGAGCGACAGGCACAAAATGTTTCAACATTAATGTACAGGAGCTGGAGAAGGTGAGGCGTAACGCACCAAAAGCAGAAAAAGGAATAACGCCACCGATCTCCTGGAACACGTCGTGATTACAGACTGCTGCTATCTTGATCTGAAATTGGGGTTTCGCCCTGTCCAAGTGCCAAGGTGCTGTTTTGCCTTTCCCTCCCTACTTTTCATTATTTCAGTAAAGGCGCATTTGAAAAGGTAAGTGAGAATAGATTTATTAAATTGAAATTTTAATAAATTGAAATTTTAAGTGACATTTTAAAATATTTTAAGATATTTTTTTAAGATTTTTAGATTTTGAAAGAATTATATAAAATTTTAAGTCTGGAGGTGGAATTTCGTATAAAGTTTTTTCTTTATAAATCCTATAAATCTTGAAAAGTTTTAACAAATCTATAATTTAACAAATCTATATATATATATATATAATAAGAATTAATATTTATCAAAAATAGTATGTTAATTAATGATCAAACGCAAGTCTGCAGTAATTTTTTTTCATAAATGACCGGTTTTAATTCCTTTTCACACACTGCATTAATAACGCATTAATTACACCGTAATCTCTTTTCACACACTAACAACAACAAAAAGCGGCATTATCCCGTTAATGTAGCCGTATTATTTGAAATATTAAAAAGTCTTTTTTTTTAATATTGTTTGAAACAAATCCTCATGCCGCCTTATTGTTTGAATTTCTAATGAAATAATAATTTCCCTATTTCATATGCAATAGATTTATAGAATAATATTTTAATTGACATATATTTAATATTATTTTTCCAATTCATATGTAATAAACTTATAGATTAAATTTTTAATAGATATATAATTTTATTAATTTGTAATTAGTATTAATATATGATTTAACTATTTTTTATAAGTTCATGTATAATGAATTTGTAGATTTTTTTAAATGACTGATAATTTATCGATTTTTTATTAATATTAATAAACTAGATAATTTTATATTACAAAATAAAATTATTTAATTATTTTATACAAGAACATGGATATAAAATTGGAGTTAATCAAAGGATGATTAATTTCAAGTGTTTTTGTAAATTGGAACTCATAGTATTGGTTACGAATTAATCCAAATAAACAACTTCGAAACACCATAATTGACACATCAAATTACGAAACACCATAATTCAAATATATGATTACAAAACACCAAAAGTCATATAAAATCGAAACACATTAATATAGGGGAATATCCAATTTGTGATGATTCACTAATATCACAAATATTGACACTATGTGTTGTATTAACTAGCATGACATTTGGTATCAACATATTTTTTTTTTCTATGTTTGTGTATATATTAATTGATTTGTGTTGTTCGTATTCACGTGCTTTTTCTGAGGCTTTATGCTTTAACTAATGTTTATGAAATAATCTTATGATTTTTTTTAGGCTTCATGCTTTTTAACTTATGTTTATGAAATAAAACCTAAATAGTAATATTATTAATTTAGGAAAAAAATTTGTATATTGAAATAAGATATTTATTGCTTAAGTTAAACATATTTTGATAAAATAATCTATACTTATAGAAAAAGTCATCCTATTTACTAGAAATAGTAGGCAGAAAAGTTAAAGATAATTAATGCATTCTATTTCCATCAAATATTTCAATTGTATTATTATTTTATTGCTAAAAAACCGATTTGCATTAATTCATCCTTAAGTGATGTGTTTTGGAATAAAATCAGACAGATAGACTTCAAGTAAAAACATGTCTCATTTCAAATTTAAATTTAAACATTAAAATTTCTTATCATTTTGTTACATTAAAATCCTGAATGAATTATTTGCCATAAAATCGGACAAAATAATAATTGCATAGAATTCAAGTAAAAACATGTCTCATTTAAAATTTAGAATTTAAAATTCCTTATCATTTTGTTACATTTCCGAATGATTTATTTCCCATAACATTGGACGGAATTAATAATTGCTTTGAATTATATTATGATTTCTAATTATATCAAGGATGTTTAATAATTGCATAGAATTTCAAAGATGTTTATTTATTATAAAAAATTAAATTCTAAAAAAAAATTTGTGTATATTTTGTAAAATGTTTGTACAAAATGTTTTAATTTAAATTTATTTACATAATTTAAATTAATTACATTAATAAATATTATGAACATACATTAAATATTTTAGTTACATAGAACAAAAAGAAGAAGAAGACTACATCTATAACTTGTATAAATAATAATAATGACATTATATTACAATTAATTTTATAATAAAATAATATTATTATACGAGGAACAAGATTACGTAAAGTTGTTATTCTTCTTATATCAAGAAATAAATATATATAATGAAATCAAATTTATATTATTATAAACATGTGAGCGAGATAATATATTAATTAATTTACGGGCTAGCGCTACCAGACTCAGGTTTAATGTTCCGACAAAAAATTGACGTTGATGAAAAGATGTAAAAAGATAGATGATCAAACTCTATTATTTTTTAGGCTTGAACGGACAAGCCTTATGGTCCACTCATTATAATATCTCACGTGAATCGCACGAGCTAACGGACAAGCTCTGTGTAAATGATTCATTTAATACTTCTGTCCCGTGCATCGCACGGGCTACGTACTAGTCATAGTCTGAAATAAGTTAAACACCTTAAGATTTTGTAAGACTTTTTAAAACCTCAATTGAATACCCCAAGACTTTCAAAAGTCTTAACAAATCTAAATTGAATACAACATGATTTCCAAAGTTTTAAAAAGTATTTAAAAATCTCAATTGAATACACCATTCTTAATCTTATCATGGTAGATAATATTGTACATATTAAATTATTTGTTGTTTGATGACCCAGTCTAATGGAGAATTAATTTCGTGGAGATATTTTGTTCATATGTTTGTTTTTCAAGATTAGTAACTGCTTTTGTAGCTAAATGACTAANTCTCCCCCTCCATACTTGTTGTTTTCATGAGCAAAGAAACCATTTGTTTGTTCATAAATGTTTGCAATTTTCTTTACGGCCAAAAGATCTAGTCGAATCTTCTACTAAAATTCCCCAAAATTCCTGAATTTCTCATCAATTAGATGCGCGTTGACGCCAAAAGAAGCCCGCCACCAGTCAGTCGTTCGCGGATTTTGATTTACACACATAGACCGAACGTAGATCGAGGCATGGCAAACATCAATGGGTCATACCGGTCTGAGTTTTTGGTGTACTGGCGTAGATGTATATTCTTTGTAATTCAAGGTTAATGTTAGCTCTGCTCAGAAATTAGTTTGCCCAACATTTAAATTTTGATTGCATGAATAATATTGTATTGTTTAATTACTAGAACTTTTTGTTCTGTTAATGTCTTTTGCGGAATTATAACCGTTTTGATGATAAAAGATTGAATTTAATTACAATTCTTGTTCTCCTTGTCATCATTGTAGGTTTGATTTCTTTTTGTAGGCTTCTGCAGTATCCACTTTTGCATCAATGTAACAATTGTCAATTTTTTAATTTTCTTGTCTCTTTATCTTGCTATAAAATGGTAGATGTGTAAAACATATGATGTGATTAGGATGTTGTAAAGAAGCCAAAAAAGTTGGGCTGTGTAAAATATATTCCATGCTGATTTGTGTCTATCACTGATCCTTTCAAATTATCTAATCACTAAGCCTTTATTTCACATCATTTCATGTTGTTATCCCTTATTAACCCTATGCAAAAATATGAAACTTGTGCATCTCTAGTGGCCATCTACATTCTATATAGATCATTCTCCCTAAACTCACATAATCCTCAACACCAAACACAAGAACAAAATTAAGTCATGCAGAATTTTAACCAAACCCACAATGCCTCGAGTTTCTATCCCGGTAACACAAGATGAGTGTCTATATGATGCTCGTTGGACTAAAGAGGTTGATAATCTTTTCATAAACCTCTTGTTAGAAATACACATGCTGGGGGATTAGACACAAGGCCGACCAATACCTGGAAACCTTAACTTATATAGGTTGGTGCTGCGACCAGAGCTCAATACTATTTTTCATCTATAAGAGGTTGAGGAGAGGTTTGACTTCTTGCACCATGTTTATTGTGTTTTTGTGCTTATTTTTATGTGTTTTATGTGCCTTAGTCGAGTCTTTTTAGGTTCGTTTTTGTGTCGACCAGTTCATTTTATCATATTTCGTGTATTTTTGCGTCCGAAATGTGTTTTTGTGTTTTGCCATATTTTTTCGTCTTTTTGGTGTTGATTACGTCCATTTTTCTGAGCTTGGGAAAACAATCTGTTCGAGCCGACTGACCAGATCAAGCCGACTGAGTTGTTCGAGCCGATCGAGCCATCCCGGGCCATGACCTGGTCCAGACCCACGTACCTGCCCGCGCCCATACACTCAGCCCACGCAGCCCTACCAGCGCCCGCGACTTGTTTGTCCCATTTTTGTTGCATTTTTTCGTGCTCGTTTTGCTTTTCTTTATCCCCTGTTTTAGATTTTTTCCTTCGTTTTTAGTTTGTTTCGTGTTTTATAATGTGTTTTTCTTTATTTTGAGTCTTTAGGTGTTTTTTCGTTTGTTTTCCTGGTTTTCTTCGTGTTTTATCGTTTTTTGTGTGTAGGTCGGGAGCTTCGGGAAAATTTTCTCTTCAGGAAAAGTTGGTTTTTAGAGCACAATTGGATAGATGGGTTCGTTAGCGACGCGTAGCAAAAAACGAAACTCAATTCCGAGTTCGGACGAACCCAAATGAGCCCGAAACATAAAATGGCGCAGTGTAGTCCAAAGTCGCGACTTGCGAGAGAAAAGTCGCGACTCGCGAGAGCAAAGTCACGACTCGCAACTTTAACAGAGCCTCCGACCAGCTGCGCGACCCCACGACCCGTCAGACTCGCGACTCGCGAGTGAGTCGCGATCTGTTCGACCCTGTTTTTATTTTTCTCCGTTTTTACTCGTTTTAACTTAGTTTTTCGAGATCTATATATAAAAACGATCCTCCAGAACTAAGGAACAACCCCCAATATCGTTCCTTTCAATTTTTCTCTCCAAAAACTCAATATTGTTAGGATAAATTTCTCTTTTTTTTTTCTCTCATGCTTGGATTGTTGGACACAAAGATATTTGGATTGAAATCTTGCAACTCTTAATCCGATTGTAATTTTTTCAATTCTATTTT